TTTAATAAACTACAAGTCACTGATTACCATTGTTGTTGATGTTGTTATGTGCCACTGAGTTAGACCTGACTCATAGCGACCCCTCCTTGGCTTTCCGAGGCAGTATCACTACGGAAGTAGATTGCCCCATCTTCCTCTTGACAAGTGGCTGGTGGGTTTGAACCGCCAGCCTTCTGGTTAGCAGTCAAATGCCAGAGCTCCAAAACCAAACTCACTGCCATTGAGTTGATTCTGACTCACAGCGCCCCTAGAGGACAGAGTAGAACTGCCCCACAAGGCTTCCAAGGCTGCAATCTTTATGGAAGCTGAAAGATTAGGCAATCTTTCTTCCAGGGAGTGACTGGTGGGTTTGAACCAATGACCTTTTGGTTAGCAGTAAATGCCTTAACCACTACACCACCAGAACTCCTTAACCATTATTAATTCCTATTAAAAGAGCGAAGTAAACCAACTACTCACAAGGTTATTTTGTACATCAAGGGCCACATTTCAATTTCTTAGACCTTATCCAACATATTCTGAAACTTATATTCACAGTATGAGTTGTGAACTCAGAAACTGTATGAATTTAGCAGATAAGGCTGGTAACTGAAAGGTCAGTGGTTCAAACCCACCAGCAGCTCCATGGAAGGAAGATAGCAATCTACTTCGGTAAAGATTTACAGCCTCGGAAACCCAATGGGGCTCGCTCTGAGTCAGAATCAACTCAATGAGAGTGAATTCGGTTTTTTGTTTTGGTTTAATAATACATAATTCATTACTTAAATTATATACTTATGCTGTTGCTAGTTTCAAACTGGCTCTGACTCATGGCGACCCTATGAATAACAGAACTATTCAATGTAATTGTGAGGCCTGTGCCATCTTCATGGTCATGGGTAATGCACTTACACAAAACCTTTGACAGAGGGCTTAGGTGCTATCTGCCTGCTTCATTCCCAGCTGGTCTGTGTGTGTCCCTATGACCCAAGAAAAGTACATAAAGTCTACAGCAGACGCTGTTGTTGTTGTTTCTGGTGCTGTTGAGTCAATTCCAACTCATAGCGACCCTACACACAACAGAATGACACACTGCCTGGTCCTGCACCATCCTCACCATCATTGCCATGCTTGAGCCCAACATCACAGCCACTGTGTCAGTCCATCCAGCGGAGGGTCTTTTCCATTCTCACTGACCCTCTACTTGATGTCCTTCTCCAGAATTGGTTCCTTCTGACAAACTTGTAGCCACTTAAAATCCAGCTGACAGATAATAAAATCAGGCTCAAAAGTCAGCTTTGGGTCATGATTACAGAACAGGCAGTGAAGCACCATTACCGACACTCTTCAAACTCTGTACCTTCCACGGAAATGAGATAATTTAGGGGAAAACTAAAGACCACTACTTCCTTCTCTAAGCTTTAAGCATGCCTGGATGGCAACAAAATGAAAGAAACTAATAGGAACTAAGCAAAAATACTACTTGAAAACATACTCAAGTTTAGAAAGAAAAGTAACTCTTCAATTTCTGTTACCTTACACAATATTATCTTTTGAAAAATTATTTTTTTGAAGGAAATCCAGCAGAAATGCATACAAGCAGGCATGGAGAATGGACTCATCTGAGCAATGCAAGATACCAGGGATGCTCTGTATGTTTCTGTTAATAACAGCTTGATTAAGGCACAGGTCACAGACCATACACTTCATTTACAATTTTACCTTTTCATAACCCTAAAAAGAAGCCCCATGTGGTAGTTAAGTTGTGTGTCAACTTGGCTGGGCCTGGTTTTGAGAGACTGGGCAGCTGGATGTAGTTATTCCCCATGACAAGACTGGTAATCAGCTCCGTGATGGAATCTGCTGTAAGTACCTGAGTAGCTGCTTTAGGGTTGTGATCTGCTTCCAGTAAATATGAAGACAACTTTGAGAAAAGTCTCTAAGCTTTTTCACACTCTTGGACCCTGCATATAGCCAAGTCTTCATTCAGCAGCCTACCATGTTGTATGCCGATCTTGGGACTGTAATCAACTTGAATTAGTGGCCTGCCATATTGCCTGATAATTTGGGGACTGTGTCATTTTACTTGTCAACCTTGGTTTTGTCAGCCTCAGCTGCCAGTAGCTGCCTGAATTAAGAGAAGCCTCCAACTTCAGTGGGCCAGGAGCAAGAGGAGAGCTGAAGCCCAAGGTCAAGGGGCTTTCACCCAGCCCCTAGAGCGGGCACTTTTAACTCACACTGCTAGCCTCCTAAACTGTAAGAGAATGAATCCCTGTTTGTTAAGACCATTCACTTGTGGTATTTTCTGTTAGAGCGGCACTAGAGGACCAACAGGAGCTCTGGTAGCATAGTGCCTGAGGCACTTGACTGCTTACCAGAAGGCTGGAGGTTCAAATCCACCAGCCACTCCTCAGAAGGAAGGTTGGGCAATCTACTTCCGTGGTGATACTGCCTCGGAAACCCAAGGAGGGGTCGTTGTAAGTCAGGTCCAACTTGAGGGCACATAACAACAACAACAACATAGTGGGAGCTCTAGTGGCACAGTGGTTAAGGCATTTGGTTGCTAAGCAGAAAGTCAATGGTTTAAATCCACCAGCTGCTCCATGGAAGGAAGATGGGGACAATCTACTTCCATAAAGATTTACTTCCCCGGAAACTCAACAGGGCTCACTGTGAGTAAGAATCAACTCGATGGCAGTGAGTTTGGTTTGAATTTTTTTTTAATATAGCAATGCTTCAGACTTCACTGTGGATTACATCTCAACATAAAGAAAATAAAAATCCTCACAACCGGACCAATAAGCAACATCACGATAAATGGAGAAAAGACTGAAGGTGTCAAGGATTTCATTTTATTTGGATCCATAATCAACATCCACAGAAGCAGAAGTCAAGAAATCAAATGACGTACTACACTGGGCAAATCTGCTGCAAAAGATGACGTCACTTTGAAGACACTTCACCAACGCCACAACTCAAATGCATCGATTGTTCTGCAGTCTTCCTTATGCATTGTCCAGTTCTCACAAGCACATGAGGGTACTGAGAACACCCTGGCTTGTGGTGCTGGTGAAGAATACTGAGTATACCATGGAAAGCCAGAAGAGTGTACAAATCTGTCTTGGAAGAAGTACAGCCGGAATGCTCCTTAGAAGTGAAAATAACCAGACTTCATCTCTCGTACTTTGCTCATGATATCAGAAGGGGCCAGTTCCTGGAGAAGGGTATCATGCTTGGTAAAGTAGAGGGTCAGTGAAAAGGAGGAAGACCCTCAACTAGATGGATTGACGGCACAGTGGCTGCAACGATGGGCTCAGTCATAGCGATGACTGTAAGGATGGCACAGGATCAGGCAGTGTTTCGTTCTGATGTGCAAAGGGGTGCTGGGAGCTGGAACTGACTAGATGGCCCCTAACAACAATAACATACTAACTCTGGGTGTAACCTTTTGAGGAACTGCCAGACTGTTCTGCACAGTGGCTGGACCGTTGTACATTCCCACAACAGCGGATGAGGGTTCCAATTTCTCCACATCCTTACCACTCTTTGTCTTTCGATCAGAGCCATCCCAGTGGATGTGAAGTGGTAACCCCTCTTAAAACAAGGTCACTCCCTCTGGAATGGCCCCAGCTATTCTTCTAACCTATACTATTAAGTGAAAAATATGCCCAGATGGTCATTCTTAAAGGAGCTCTGGTGGCATGGTGCCTAAGGCATTTGACTGCTAAGCAGAGGCTGGTGGTTCAAAACCACCAGCCCACTCCTCGGAAAGAAGATTGGGGAATCTACTTCCGTAGTGATACCGTCTTGGAAATCCAAGGAGGGGTGGCTATGAGTTGGACCCAACTTGATGGCAGTGAGTTTGTTCATTTGTTTTAAGTCATTCTTAAAATCCAAAATAAAGTTACAGCAATCTAACACTCCCTGAATAAATGAAGGTATCACCTCTGTGTAATACACACTATCGTTCACCCCAAATTCTATCAAACTACAATACTGTCTGACATCAGAGTCCTTTCTAAATAAAGATGGCTGGTGCTATAGGGGCACACGGACACACATCACAACTGCAAAGTTTTAGGCAGAGCTTCCAAGACAAAACCCTGCACTGGAATCCAGGTTTGTCCATGACCAATGTGTAACCTTCACTGCTCTGCACCTGTGCAGGATTCTGGGCAGCTCTCGGCAGGACATTATCTGAAGGCTCTCCCAGACAGCAAGTTGTCCAAACCTGAAACTTTCATGAGATTTGAAAATGTGCTAATAGCCACACCTCAAGAACTAGGGCTGCATGGAAGAGAATTTGGGCTCAATAGTCAATCTGGGCTGAGTTCCGTTTCTGGCTCAGCCATTTGCAGGTACATGGCCAGAGGTCCATCACTGAACATTTTTGTATCTTGTTTCAGACCTGGAGGCAATAATGCCTTCTTCAAGTGCCTATGAAGATTCATTGAGCTAATCTAGCAAAAGCATCTGGCATAGTGACCAGACACTTAAATGTTTATTCTTGTCCATCTTCCTGCTAATCTGTCTCTAGAGGCAAAGTTTCCCAGCAAATAAAGATCTCTTAACAAATGTTGGGGGCCATTTAGAACTGAATGGGGTGTTCTTGTGATCTGTGGAATTCCGGTATAAAGTACTTCCCTGCATTGCACTCTGTTAATTGCTCAGAAGTGCTATCAGTTTGGGTTTCCAAAAGGACTAAACAGAATTCCTGGCCGTGAGAGGAGGGATGAAAATATAAGAGATCTGACTTGTGTCAGTGAGCCCGGGGGGCTCAGGGACAGGTTGGACACAGACCAGGTCAACGGGAGCAAAAGGGAAAGGCTGTATTCGCTTGACCCCATTAGAAGCCAGAGAGAGACTGAAAGGCTCTATAAGGGTCTGAGGGGGAGAAGGGGAATGGAGGATGCAGAGAGGGGCGGGGGCTGGACAGACATGTGGGAAGATGACAGCAGGCAGCAAGCACCATTCCAACTGTGAACCCCCTGCTTCTGCCCTCTCTCGCCACGTTCCCCTACCTGATCCGGTTGTCACGGAATTTGTTGAGATGCGCTTGATTGAGGTAAATGGTGCGGGCTGGTGCATCCAGCTGGTCTGCAGCGGACGTGGCCCGGGACATCTCATCATCTGCCTTCTTGTAGCCCGAAGAAGAACAGACAGGTCCTGCAGAGACCAGGCGCGGGGCAGAAAACAACACACAAAAGAAGTCAGCCGCCAGGGGGAAGGCAACGGCGCGGTGTGCGGGCTGAGCCCTGCTGGGGAGGATGCTCGGGCGCCCGCACGGTCCCGCCTTTGTACCTTTGCTCCCCGGAG